TTGTGTCTGAATATTTAAATCCTGCAGTGCACCAACATCAGGGAAGGATCTGATGTATTTCAGAGCTCTGAATTAGGGTAGTCTTAAACAAGAGGTCCCGGTTTCCTTCCTTGCCCAGTTGGGTTTCTTGGGTTTCTGGTCTCCTTCTGGTTACACTGGTGAGAAAAGGCAAACCATCCATGTCTACCTCCAACTGAATTCTTTTTTCATACTGAATTGCTCACCTGAGAGTACTTTTGATGGGTGTTGCTGTTACAGATGGTTTGGTACATATAAGCCCAGATTACAGAGCTATGAATCACCTGCTTAACACAGGCTGAGGAGGGAAAAAAGTGTCAGATTTTGGAGAATTAATGGGGCAAACTTGATGCCAGCACCACAACTCCAGAGTTAGACTAACATCACTGCGCTTCTGTTATCAAATGCATCTGTGGATATACCATGAGTCCCTGAAATCTGTTTGAAATATGTAATCAAATGATTGTAATGTGATTTCCTCCCCATGTGCATCTAATTTTGTTTCAGCTTCTGCACGTCAACTACAGGGGACTTGGTGTGACTTTTTTTCTCACACTACTTTTGCGGGAGAATAACTCTGTTGAATTCAAGAGTTATGCCAGACTTGCATTAGTACTGAATAAGGATGAGGGTTTTTTTTAATCCCTTCTTGCTCTGCAATGCACCATAAGCCTGTGCTGGTATAAATACTTCCCTAGAAATCTGTTTTTAAACAATTGCACTAGGGGGGTTCTTTGTGCAAACTTGGTACTGATCCACACAAGAAGATTTTTATCCCTTAAAGCAATACAAATGATGCACAAAATCTGGAAGGTTCTTGAGTTCTCGGTAACAGCACAGCTTAAGAACAGCAGGACCCCTCTCCCCATGAGTCAGATCCATATTTTCTCCACACAGGGACTCCTGTAAAATCAGGTCCTGAATTGTTTACACAGGTAACCCTTGTAGAGCAATCAACAGTGTTTTTTTTTTTTTCCCCTTGAACAGAAAATAGACACAATATTTGCCTAATTTTCAAAATAAACAAAGTCAGTAGGGCATCTTGGGTAACAGAAAAAATGAATGGTTCTATTTCATGGCACACAAGTCATTTCCACATGTTACAGAATACTCTTCCAAGTTTTGAAGAACATCACATAGCAACAAAAAAGAATACTCGTTCTAAAAATCAACAAATTAAACCACAGACTTATCCTATAAATTGCAACTTGGAGATAGCAATTCTTTGTTATAGACTCATAGCCATCAAGTAATAAATTCAGTAGTTATTGCTCAAGCAAAACTCTGCATGACCTTGGAGTTTTGCCTGGATGAACACTGTGGTAAACTGCTCCTTGGGCTGTAGTCCTGCAAACTGTTACTCATGTGATTAATTTTACTACTGTGAGAAGCATGTCAGCAGAGTTGCTCATCACAGAACAGTTAATCACTTCTTTTTTCTTTAAGTGGCTGCAGGACAGCAATTTTAGCCATTATTTTTCATGAGGCTTTTTTATTTATTTATTAAGCTAGCATGGTTTAGTTGAGTGCAAGGCCGTCTTGCGCTCTACTGGAATTCCGCAGCCCCAGACGAGGGAGAAAATATTGCCTGCGTTGGGAGATTTTAACATTGTTGGGTTTGTTCCATGCTCAAAAAAGTCTCAAAGAAAGGTAGGAAAATAGCATGACGTTAGGCGTTCTCAGCTCCATCTGTGCTGACAGATGTGTCCTAAATTAGGACCAGATTCCATCCTTGCTTCCCTAGTGCAAATCCAAATTAACCCCGCTGAAGTCGCAAGAGTAGCTCTGCATTTATAGGACGTTACTGTGAACAAACCTTAACCTCTACTCAGCGTAGTGAGAGCATTCCCGAAAGGAAGTGCAGGAGGAGAAATAAAGGTAAAGTTCTCGGAGAACCCATGTGCCTGTTTAAGCAACAATGCCAATTTTCTTGCTTTGGGTGACACTTGCAAGCACCGCTCTATGTGGAGAACATTGGTTTTCAGTAAGGAGATTAAAAAAGGGGAGATAATGATGGGAACAGGTACCAGCCAAGATGCAGAGTGATCCAAAGGATGGAAAAGACCAATAAAACACAGAATAAATTTTAAAATACTTTGACAATGCTCTCTGTTTTTCTACATAGCTGTTATTAGTTTACACTTTCCTGCAGGCATCCTGATGGATGGACACCTTGAGTAAGGAGCTGAACGAGGAGAGGACTAGCAGATTTGTGAATCAATTTTAAAACAGCATTCCAAAAAATACAGGTGATCTAGAAGAGATCTGCAGAGGTGGTTAAAAAAAAAAAGTCAATTAAGCTTGTGATCGAGGCATGGGGTAGTGGCCGAGAGCTGCCACTGGTACAAAATGGAGAAGTCCAAAGACGCGGCATTGTCAAAAGTCTTGAAAGTGAGAAGTTGGAATGAGAAAAATAGAAAAGGTTTTCCCTATGCCCAGTCACTTCCGACACGGTCTGGCAGGACCATGGCACCCCTGCTGCCCCATCTGCAGCATCTGCTCTCCCACAAGGAGAGCAGCTGTGCTGTAAGGGTACTTGTCCATCTGAGAGTCACACTGAACCCCAAAAAATCAGTGCAAAGAGGTTACTGTTCAGAAGCTACAGGCTCCAAAACTATTGTATTCATGTCATAAGGCTGTAGATAAAAGGAGGAAAAAGCCTTTTTATTTGGGGAGAAAATTCCTCATTGAAGCAGGAGGTGAAGTACCCCTTAATGGCGTTCCTGTCTGCGAACCTTAAAGAGAGTAGGAGATTCACATCTGATGAGCTGTGTTGCACCAATGGGCACATGGATGCCTGGAAGCTCTGAGTCATTCTGGAATTTCTTGCAAGTGCCTGTGGTTTCCTAGATGAGCATTTCTGTGCTCTGTTGCCTCTGTGGGGGGACATTCACTTCTCATCTGAAAAACTGCCTGTTAACACAAGATTTGTTTTCTGAGGCTCTTTTCCTTTCTCCCGATCATTTTCTGGGGCTCTCTTCCTTTTTTTTTTTTTTTTTTTTTCCTAATAAAATCGCCTAGCTTGTACAGGTTATGAGTCTGGGAAGGAGCTCTGCAAAACACTTTCTTAAAAATGGTCGAATGAGATGGGAATGAGCCTGATCCTGCATTCTCCCAGCACAAGGACAAACCTATGTGCTGAGTGGGGGTCCCATCTGTGCACAGATCTGAGCTGCAGGACTCACTGAGCTACTGATATGCTTAAATTAGAAATCTTCTGTGTGTCCCTAAGGAAATATGAAGGCTTGGTTATTAAGATGGGATCTTGGAATTTATTTTATCATCTGGTGACAATTAATTTTGTGCAAACTTGAAAGCTCAAGCAATGGCAATGTCAGGAAGGGAAAAGGCACTTTATAGACAAGAAATCGGAGTCGCAGCCTTCTCTAATACTGGCACAGCTCCATGGAAGTAAATTTCTTGCAAACAGAGGAACTGGTCCTGCTTGCATTCCACTCCAAAGTCACGTCCGAGCTCTTAGCACTGCCGTAAACCCCAAACAATCTCACAGCACTGAAACATCTGTGTCTTGGAGTAGCCAAAGGTTAAAATGAAAGGTCCCTTTGTTATGCTGAAGTTACTGTTTTCTTTGCTGAGGAAATGTCCTGCAATCTACAGTTATCTGCTTGAATTTTTCTTTCATACTGCCAAGAACCACCAAGAAATACTTTTTTTTTGTGAGAGTCCCGGG